TCCTCGGATCAGGAAGTGCCTGGATTTTAACCAAGCTAGGGGTCCAGATGAAGATCTGTTTGTGGGATATGTTGTTCAATAATAGGCTGTAGTTCCATCCATGAATAGACACAGACATGAATGAAACCACTGACAAAGATAACTGCCAGTTATCCCCAATTAGAGGGAATATGTGATATGAGCACACGCCATGCAAATACTTGTACACAAAGAGGGGTTTATAGCTAAACCCTGTGGCATCTTCAAGCAGGGGTTGGTTATATCTCCGGTAATTATTGCAAATTCTATCAGTTCTACGTGTTGGTATTTTTGTATTAGATTCAGAGCTTTGTTCATCGTCACGGACAAACTCTCTGCATTTATCAAGTTCTCACGAGGACTTGCTCTGCTTTACATTCCGATCTCGTATGCGCAAAGCCAAATAAATGTGGGTGCTACAAGATGAAGACACTGACAGCAAAACACATTTCCCGCGCTATCTAAGGGGTAGGAAGATGCACAGGAATAAAACAAAAAGTGAACAAATTAAAAGGTGAAGGCTAAGAATATCCTCCACGTTGAGCAAGGTCCCACTCAAATTGAGGGTCCCCGGTTACCTGGTCTGAAGAGCAAAGATCGAGCATTGTTCGTGGCAACGTTTTTCCACAGTAAGCGTTTCCTAATATAGAAAAAATGTGGGCCACCTGAACTCCAGATATCCCACGGCCACGGTTTGATAGAACGTTTGGTTAATTAACCGCTCAGTTGTAATGAATGAGTCAGTGCTGCCTTTATATTGTGCCATATGTTATTTAGTTATTAGGGGAGTTGCACGCTGGCTGTCACCAACACATGTGAGGTACGTGTGCAGATGTTTATTCTGATCCAAATTATAAGTTTTAATACTTTTTACTAAAGTCTGTTGGACACCCTAATCACGGACTGGGATCCGGTCTGTGCTCTATTATAAATCCAATACTTCACTCCGATACTTTGGTGTCTTATCTTTCGTGTTTTGCCTTTTCTGTAATGCACCAAAATAATCTGTTTTTCTGCTACTTTTTACTTTTCTTTTGATTTTTTCTCCTTAGTTTCCTGATGATTTCATCATTTATTGTAAACAATCAAAGAAAAGGAAAACATTAAATTTCCTTACCTGCCCCAGAAATGCACCAACCTAACCGCGATGGAAAAAAACACAATATGAAAAAACCTGCGTTTTTTGTGCCAGTTCCCATTTATTGAAAGAGGTATTTTAATTCATGTTTTTATTTGTCATAAACGGCTGTGTTATTTTGATTAGCCACACGTGCACTTAGTCAGCCCTAGGTCTATGATATCAGTTCCTGTTCTGAACTTTTATCTTGGAAAGAGTTAAAATATCAATTTATTTGTTAAAAACAGACCTACTATTAAATCCCTGTGTTTTCACTTATAACGAGTTAACAGCGATGGCCTTTCTATAACCATGAAACCAGCTCTCTTCCCTAACATCTCCCCAAGGAGTTAAATGGCTGATTTTGTTCGTGACCAGGTGATGATTGCAGGTCAATTGAACTTTGCTCCTTCGTTAAGTGATTAATTGCTTTTCATGGATGTCTCATGGAATAATAACTAGCACCTTAAACTACCTGTTAGGCTTGGCCTCGTCTATTGACTTCAAACTAACAAGATCTTATCTCTTACTGTCAGCTCTCATTTACTAAACTCCCATTAACAGCTGCACAATTCACACTCCGCACTTTGTTTTTAATATAATTCTTTATTTTTGCAGGTGATGGTTTTATTCACACGTGTAGACGATATATAGGCAGACATAAACCACGAACACGTCAGTAACATTATTGTCATGGGGATTTCACCAATTTTTGTATTATACTAGATTAAGTCATAGACAAGTGGAAACAGTGCCCCACACATCAGACATATATTAGTGACATATTTCTGGCTTATAAAACATCTAGCTTATAATAGAAACAAAAAAACAAAACAAAAATGGAAAACCAAAAGTGTTGAGTTTTAGAAAGATATATGAACTTCTCTTGAGATGTGTAAGTCAAGCCCCTAACCTATAGACTGTTAGCTCGTTCAATAGACTGTAAGCTCGTTCAATAGACTGTGTGCTCGTTCTATAGACTGTAAGCTCATTTGAGCAGGGTAACCTATCGTTCCTGTAAGTTTTCTTGTTATTGCCCTATTTATAGTAAAATCCCTCCCTCTTATAATATTGTAAGGTGCTGCGGAATCTGTTGGCGCTATATAAATGGCAATAATAATAATAATAATAATAATAATAACCAATGGGTGTAGTGGGAATGCCTACTAGTTAAACAGTATTAACAATTAGAATTGGAGGTTAAGAAGAAGGTAAAACTAAGTAATAAGTAAAGTTATGGCAAAGCTACTTACAGTTGCAAGAAAAAGTATGTGAACCCTTTGGAATGATATGGATTTTGGCACAAATTGGTCATAAAATGTGATCTGATCATTATCTAAGTCACAACAATAGACAATCACAGTCTGCTTAAACTAATAACACACAAAGAATGAAACGTTGCCATGTTTTTATTGAACACACCATGTAAACATTCACAGTGCAGGTGGAAAAAGTATGTGAACCCTTGGATTTAATAACTGGTTGAACCTCCTCTGGCAGCAATAACTTCAACCAAACGTTTCCTGTAGTTGCAGATCAGACGTGCACAACGGTCAGGAGTAATTCTTGACCATTCCTCTTTACAGAACTGTTTCAGTTCAGCAATATTCTTGGGATGTCTGGTGTGAATCGCTTTCTTGAGGTCATGCCACAGTATCTCAATCGGGTTGAGGTCAGGACTCTGACTGGGCCACTTCAGAAGGCGTATTTTCTTCTGTTTAAGCCATTCTGTTCTTGATTTATTTCTATGCTTTGGGTCATTGTCCTGTTGCAACACCCATCTTCTGTTGAGCTTCAGCTTTTAGGCAGATGGCCTTAAGTTCTCCTGCAAAATGTCTTGATAAACTTGGGAATTCATTTTTCCTTTGATGACAGCAATCCGTCCAGGCCCTGACGCAGCAAAGCAGCCCCAAACCATGATGCCCCCACCACCATACTTCACAGTTGGGATGAGGTTTTGATGTTGCTGTGCTGTGCCTTTTTTTCGCCACACATGGTGTTGTGTGTTTCTTCCAAACAACTCAACTTTTGTTTCATCTGTCCACATAATATTTTGCCAGTACTGCTGTGGAACATCCAGGTGCTCTTGCGCAAACTGTAAACATGCAGCAATGTTTTGTTTGGACAGCAGTGGCTTCCTCTGTGGTATCCTCCCATGAAATCCATTCTTGTTTAGTGTTTTACGTATTGTAGATTCGCTAACAGGGATGTTAGCATTTGCCAGTGACTTTTGTAAGTCTTTAGCTGACACTCTAGGATTCTTCTTCACCTCATTGAGCAGTCTGCGCTGTGCTCTTGCAGTCATCTTTACAGGACGGTCCTAGGGAGAGTAGCAGCAGTGCTGAACTTTCTCCATTTATAGACAATTTGTCTTACCGTGGACTGATGAACAGCAAGGCTTTTGGAGATACTTTTATAACCCTTTCCAGCTTTATGCAAGTCAACAATTCTTAATCGTAGGTCTTCTGAGAGCTCTTTTGTGCGAGGCATCATTCACATCAGGCAATGCTTCTTGTGAAAAGCAAACCCAGAACTGGTGTGTGTTTTTTATAGGGCAGGGCAGCTGTAACCAACACCTCCAATCTCATCTCATTGATTGGACTCCAGTTGGCTGACATCTCACTCCAATTAGCTCTTGGAGATGTCATTAGTCTAGGGGTTCACATACTTTTTCCACCTGCACTGTGAATGTTTACATGGTGTGTTCAATAAAAACATGGCAACATTTCATTATTTGTGTGTTATTAGTTTAAGCAGACTGTGATTGTCTATTGTTGTGACTTAGATGATGATCAGATCACATTTTATGACCAATTTGTGCAGAAATCCATATCATACCAAAGGGTTCACATACTTTTTCTTGCAACTGTAAGTCACTGTGCCCTGTCCCCTACTCAGGGTGAAGGGAGTCACGTTTGCCGCATCACATGTGCTTGTAATAGCTTGTCCCCCCAGCGTTCCTACAGTCCGTCCCCCAGTCCCAACGAGGACAGAAAGGTGATGGCCTCAGCCGCATCGGTGGCTTTGTGCAGTTTGCCGTCCTGAGTTACTGTAAGGGAGACCAGCAATAGGGTATTCCTGCCTCCTGGAGTCCTTGTGTGATGGGTTTCATTGATTTCTGCCAGAGTAAGGTGGAACAATGAAGATGATGAAAAAACTTTGTACTGTGAGACTCAAAGTCCACTTTAGATTTTTCCTGCATAGTAATCAGCAAGGCATGTTTGTCTTGCATTATCCTGCGACGTAGTATGATATCTCTGGGGACTGTAGTTTGTGCCCTTGGTGAGTTTGCAATGTGGTATATCCTATCGCTTGTAAATAGCATGCTGTTTTACTGGTAGCAGAGTGTTCACCATACGCCAAATAAAGTGGGGGTAATTCTATTGACAATGAGTCCGAGACTCACCTGATCTTTAGATTCTTCTGGCGGACTCTTCCATCCAGGACTTCTACACGTAGTGTAAAGGAGGAGTGATAAGCCCGTAGTAATAGACACTATGCCTGCAGGGGTAGTTGCAGGGCCGGACTGGGGATAAAAGCAGCCCTGGAAAAAAAATTTGTGCCAGCCCCATAAGTCACTGGGCCATATATTGTCGCGTGTAATATGTAAGGCTATGTCTTGCCAGGACAGATGATTGAGTAATATATATATATATATATATATATTGCTTTTTCTAATATAAAATATTGGTCCTTTCAGGTTAAACCAGTGATGGCGAACCTATGGCACGCGTGCCACAGGTGGCACGCCGGGCCCTTTCTGTGGGCACGCGGCCACAGGTTCGCCATCACTGCAGAGTAGGCGCCTGCCTGCCCGAAACGGCAGGCGCCTACTCTGCTTCCGGGTCGGGAGGCAGGGGGAGGGCTCCAGGAAGCAGCTCCACTGTCCTGCCGCGCGATGCTGTGTGGAGCGTTGCACGCACGTTACCATGGCAACGCTCCACACAGCATTGCGCGGGAGGACAGGGGAGCTGCTTCCTGGAGCCCTCCCCCTGTAGTGCTTACCACCACCGGACCACCAGGGATCGCTGTCCCCCCCCTCCCCCCCTACTTCATTAAAGGTAAGAAGGAGGGAGGGGGGGTATACTGACACAGCACCCATACCCCCCCAGCAGTAACCCCTACTCCCCCAGCAGAACCCCTAACCCCCCAGCAGTAACCCCTACCCTCCCCAGCAGTAACCCCTAACCCCCCAGCAGTCCCCTAACCCAGCACCCCCCCCAGCAGTAACCCCTACCCCTCTCCCCAGCACCCTACCTCAGCAGTAACCCCTACCCCCACAGCAGTACCCCTACCCCCAGCAGTAACCCCTACCCCTCCCCCAGCAGTAACCCCTACCCTCCCCAGCAGTAAGCAGTAACCCCCCCCCCAGCAGTAACCCCTACCCCCCCAGCAGTAACCCCTACCCTCCCCAGCAGTAACCCCTAACCCCCATACACGTACCCCTAACCCCCCAGCAGTACCCCTACCCCCCACACACACAGTACCCCTAACCCCCAGCAGTACCCCCTAACCCCCAGCAGTACCCCCTAACCCCCACACACAGTAGTACCCCTACCCCTCACACAGTACCCCTACCCTCACACAGTACCCCTACCCCCACACACACCCCCACACACAGTACCCCTACCCTCCCACACATATAGTACCCCTACCACAGCACCCTTACACATATACACACACACACACAGCACCCCTCACATACAACACTCACACACACACGCACCCCCCACCTCAATGCAGTATGTGTGTATTCAGCAGTGTGTGTGTGTGCGTGTATTCAGCAGTGTGTGTGTGTTTGCGTGTATTCAGTGGACTGTGTGTGTTTGCGTGTATTCAGTGGACTGTGTGTGTTTGCGTGTATTCAGTGGACTGTGTGTGTGTACTCAGCAGTCTGTGTGTGTGTACTCAGCAGTCTGTGTGTGTGTATTCAGCAGTCTGTGTGTGTGTATTCAGCAGTCTGTGTGTGTGTATTCAGCAGTGTGTGTGTGTGTACTCAGCAGTCTGTGTGTGTGTGTGTACTCAGCAGTCTGTGTGTGTGTACTCAGCAGTCTGTGTGTGTGTGTCAGCAGTCTGTGTGTGTGTACTCAGCAGTCTGTCTGTATGTGTATTCATCAGTCTCTGTATTCAGCAGTCTTGTGTGTGTGTGTGTATTCAGCAGACTGTGTGTATGTATTCAGCAGTCTGTCTGTGTATGTATTGCATTTGTTGGAGATACTAATAAATATAAGCTTAATTTTATCTATTTATATCATTATTTAAAATTTGTATCATTGAACTCTCTGTGTTCTTTTAAAACAAAAGTTATTAGTTCGGACAACAGTACGAGTTGTTTTTTCTAAACTTAAACCTCAGTATTTGGGTTTAATTGCCGTGTTGGCACTTTAAGGAGAAAAAATGTTGGCATGTATTGCGGTTTGGGCACTCGGGCTCAAAAAGGTTCGCCATCACTGGGTTAAACGTTTAATTATACAGTAAGCATACTCACATGCAGACACAGGCAATTTCACTGAAATCTCAATGACACGTACAAGCTCATTGATACACAGCCTCATAGACAAACAATCTCACTGACATACACCAGCTCATTGACATAAAAACACAAGCTCACTCACTAGCAAGCACACGCATGCAAGCAAGCTCACTCACTAGCAGACGCACACACAGCTTAATGTGGTGGTACTGGTGTCTATAGCATGTCCCTACAGGCTTTTCAACGTAAACACTGACTTTTCAGAGAAAAGGCAGTGTTTACATTGCTTCAAAGTGACACTGCTAGTGACAGTCACTCAGACGGTCACTAGAGGTGCTTCCTGTGTTAGTGCACCTACATTCAGGGCCTCCACACTCTGTAGGTGCTGAACGTTCCCCATAGAGATACATTGATTCAATGCATCTCTATGAGGAGATGCTGATTGGAGTGGCGTTTTGCAGCCAATCCTATGGCAAAGCATTGGATTGGCTGAGATTGGTCGAGGGGAGAATACTAATACCTGCCAGGGGGAGGTCTTCTGGGGGCCGCTGGGGAACTTTTACCCATGGGGAGGTCTTCTGGCAGCTGCTGGGGGACTTGTCCTGGCAACCGCTGTAGGAGCTGCGCCGGCTCTGCTCTCCCGCCCTCGCGCGCTGCTGAATGAGACCGGCGCCGGAATATGACGTCATATTCCGACGCTGGTCTCATTCAGCTGCGCGCTGGGGAGCAGAGCCAGCGCAGCTCCCACAGCGGCCGCCAGGACAAGTCCCCCAGCGGCCGCCAGGACAAGTCCCCCAGCGGCCGCCAGCAGACCCAGGTGTCTGCCCGGCCCACCGGGAAATTTCCCGGTATCCCGGTGGGCCAGTCCGGCCCTGGGTAGTTGTGATAGGAGTTGTTGGTTTGGGACGATCTGGCATCACGTTGTCTTCCTCCACACTTTCTTCAGTCAGAGGAGTATAGGTAGATGTAGCACGCAGTGTGAAGAATGGAACACAGTGGCTTTAATGCCTTATCCAATAGGTAAAATAGTCATCAGACCATGGCCTACTCTCAGTGTGGTGCTCACACCCAAGTCTCTATGGTTGGGCGACAAGGAATGGAGAAATTCCAAAGGCTGCATCGAATAAGAGACATGGGGTTTAGAAGTCTCACTATTGAGCATACACACGATAAACCTTGGAGTGGGACTACCACAGTCGCTTATGTTTGTATGCTTTCTTCTCCCAAATTTAAATAGAAAGGTCCATCTCTTAGTAGATCATTTTTAACATCCACAGATAAAATGTTTTAGAAACAGAAGATGGTTTCATGGCCAAGCAGCTGGTAAAATTACCTTTCTAGACTGCTATGCTCACCATATGGGAATACAATTTATCCCTAACGAGACATGTGGCTTCTACTAAACCAGTCAGGAGCTCTTATACTTATTTCTAATAAGTCTGGGATAAGAATGTGTCACAAATTAAAGATTACCGTCACCACTGGAGTTGTAACAGGTTCAAAGAAATCCCAACATGCAGAGCTTGAACAAGAACTTACCGGATATACCGGAAATTAGTATAGACTCGTAGTGCGGGTCCTTGGGATGGCAGGATGCTATGCCTAAATAATGCAGGAGGGCAAGGAGAGTAGTAAAATAGAGGTACGCAAAATTGCTAAGCCAGGCCAAGTCTAGGATACCCGAGAGTAGGAAGAGCAAGAAAAAGCTTTATAAAAATACCATAATAATGAACACTACATAGAGGACTTTGCATTGCATCTAGGGGGAAATGACACCAGGGTGATCTCTCAAGTGATTTTAGTGCTATTAATGCGTATGGATTGGTCTTATAACATTCGTAGGTGCCCAGAATGGACATGTGCATCGGTGCTGGAATAATGCTGGGTTAAACACATTCGAAAAACGATGCACAGGTGCAATCAAATAAAGGGAAGTTTTTTGGAAATGTCCCGTGTAAGGATCAATGCTGTCATGCAGCACGCAGCCAGAGACACATTGACACGAGGCTGCTTGGCCACCTGTAAAACATTTTCTCCAGACAACTAGTTTTGTCCAAAGAATCAATGTATTTTCTCCACATTTCGAGCTATGTTGGGAGGCTAACAGCTGCATAGCCTCCATTCTCCTGTGGGAACATGTTAATATTGATATGTAAAACTGCCGCCAGGGATTTCTGTAAGAAATATTAAAAATAAACTGAAATATACAGGAAATGCTGGAAGATTCACATTGGATGGATCTGCATTCGTTTATAGATATGCAAATGATGTTTCTGGTACAAATAAGAACAAATATCTCACGGCAATTTTGGGGTTGTAACAGGAATGGTATTGAGATCTGAAGATTCTGGGATTGTGAGATGGAAATTTATAAATGAGTATATCACTATTTACATAACAAGCTGCGTGACTTGGAATTAGTATCCGATTTACCAGATTCATCTGTAACTGTGGTAAATCGGTAATAAAGTACAACAATTTAGCCCAGATCAACCAAACAAAAAAAAACTCCAACAATGTTTCTATTTATGCTGAAAACTTGAGTTTCTCATATTAATTCTCAACATTTAAAGTTTAACCCTGTTAGTGCTGCTTTCTTAGAAATACTGAAAAATCCAAATCAATTTACTTAAACTGCTTTCCCTCCCAATGTGTGGCAGTAAAGTTTGTTTAATTATCATATGAGCGTCACTTGTTACAGCCCCCCATTTCTCCACGTAGCCCTTTTTTTAGTCTGTTACTGTACCTTGTAGCTCAGTACAGTGTGTGTGTGCGCATGCATGTTTGTGTTGAAGTTACAGATACAGGAACCAATTCTGAAATGTTAAATGGTCATGACAGCCTGAAATGTAAGATAGGGAAATCTATTTTTTAATAAATTCTTAAAGGGTCATTCTAGACACCATAACCACTTCAAATCATTTGAAGTCCCTTGGCACGATCCCACAGTTCAGTGTTAATCTCTTTGTGAACAGTTGAATACTAAATGAGGGTCTCCATGCACTGTGGCCTTGTCCCCCCTGGAGAAATGGCGAAGGAGTAGTGGAACTCTACATTACCCATGCCAGTCCATAGCATTGATGGGAGGCAGTGATAGGATAAGAGGGCTCAGTGGATGCTTTCTTCTTATCACTAGTGACCATAACTGCTTTATCTAAAGCGTCAGAACTTATATTAGATTTATATTAGATCCTGGTGCTGAGGATTGTAATATTCAGGAAAAAATACTGTGATCACCTCTGCTAGATTCTAAACAACAGAATATAAGGACTTTTGCCCATCATTCTTTTGGCCACTTTGTGCTGCATGATCTTTTATTTAAAGTATTAGAATCAAATTAGTTATCGGCCATGTAAATTAAAAACATGACTATATTGGGGCCCTTGGTTAGGAATGTTTGGGTGAGTGTTTTGAAGAGGAAAGTTAATTCTGAAACAAAGGAAGGATATTCTAAAAATGTATTTAAAAAAATTATATATATTATTATTATTATTATTATTATTAATTTTTA